TTGCATATGTCTTCATGGCGGGAAAGGCCTCAAATATCCAAATCTACAAACAATATAATAACAAACATTAGTAATTATTAAATAATTACTTATAATTTTGGAAACATTATATAAAAATTCTTACCTTAAAGGCCCAAATAAAGCCTGTCAAAGTGTATTTGGAACCATCGCCATGCAAACTTTTTCGATCATCCAAGGCAGACGATAACTTATTCCATGTAGCTTTCCATAAATATGAGCCCCACGGAAACAGGTTCCACGCATTTAGGTCTTCTACCAATTTGATTAGATCATTTGGAATAGGTTGTCTGGCCTCTCTGCCTAAAAAGCCGGTATGCAAAAGAATTAGAAGGCATACTCGGACAACGTCGACGTCATCCATCCGAGTAAAACTATCTTTCTTATTCAACAATCTTGTCAGGTCTTCTACGTGTAGATTCGGCCTCTCTAGCTCAAGAAAAACCCGGGATAGCCATGATGGGTGGGTAATGTGTCTAGTGTACCGACCTACATCATCGTGTCCGAAGCGTAGACCGGTGATTAAGCAAAACTCCTCCCGCCCAAAACACGTATACGCCGGTGGAAAATCAAACCATACTCTTCATCACGACGTTGTATAGTCTCTGGTAGATCGCTAGTCATAGTTTGAAGAAACAGGTGTGTCAACATCGCATCTCCACCGGGATGTTGTACTTTCAGCCATGGCCCGAAGCATGTATCCTCAAACATTTTTCTTTGTGCAGGTGAAAGCTTCGACGCAATTGTTTTGGCCAGGCTGACTTTATTTCTTAAGGTCAATTGAGCCGAATAAAAGTTCTACAAAAATAATAAACATACTAAGTTAGATATACCAAAAACTACACTGTGAAGATATACCAAAAACAATAATAAACATAAAGAGTAGTAGTTTATTCTTCAAACTTAAATTTGCAACACTGTGAATTTCGTATTTGTCTTTGTTTTTTTGTTGAAGTAATGCAATTCATTCAAGTTTCAATTTGCAGAAGAATAATAGTTTTTGAAAATGAAAATCGCAATACGAAAATGACTATCGCAACGCAAATTTGACTATCGCAACGCGAAACTAAAATCGCGTTGCGATTTGCATTTCACGTTGCGATTCTCGGTTGATTTAATAAGAAATCTAAGTGAAATGGTTAATCTATTATTGAAATTACCAGTAAACTTATCATCAATTTCAATATGAAAAACCTAATAATAATGCAAAAATTTCAAAAAGAAAATAATTAAAAAAACTAACCCTCGTTGGTTGATTTGGTTGATTTTCCATTTCTGATTGTGAGGGTGGCTCTGAGAGATGGAGATAGACGGATTTCGCCGGAGATGGGGACGGATTTCGTCGGAGATGGGTGAGAGAGTGAGAGATGGAGATGGAACTGAGTTGTGATTTTAGGTTTTAGGTTATGAGTTGCGATTACGGGATATACTGTGGACGGTTCAGTGTTCCAATATATTAATATTCGTGTTTGGAATTTAAAAATAAAATACTTGGCCAGGATACTAATGGTGCTTTGAAAATCGCATTGCGATTATGTATTATCGCGTTGCGAAAGTCAGAATCGCGTTGCGAAAGTCAGTATCTCGTTGCGATTTTGTATTATCGCATTGCGATAGTAAGTATCGCATTGCGATAGTCAGTATCGCATTGCGATTTTCCCAATTCGCGTTGCGATTTACTTATTCGCATTGCGAATTGAGAAAATCGCAACGACACTGTAGACCATCGCAACGCGATTTTCAACTATCGCAACGCGAAATGCAACGCGAATTTGTGATAATGGAGATCGCGTTGCGAATTAGCGATCGCATTGCGATTTTGTTGGTCATTTTGGCAAATCCGAAAAAAAGTTGGTTAAAATCATATATTATATGAGAATTTTGGTCACTGAGGCGATTTTCTCTACAAAAAAAAACAACCTTGTAAAACCCTAAACACCTAGTTTTCTTTCATTAATATGCCGCTCATATCTTTTCTTTTTTGTCTTTGTTCATTGGCGGCAGCACTAATTTTAATGTTAGTTGTCGACCGCCGATATTCTTTATTATCTTTTTCTTCCTAGATTGTATCTTTATTTTCTTTTGTTTTTTTATTTTCAATAAGTCTGTTTGTGTTGCACATTTTCATCTTCCTTTATGACACTTTTTCTTATGCTTTTTGGTATTTGTTTTTGTTCTTTGGTCATTTTTTTCATTTATTTTTTCTAAGGGTTGATTTGACATCGTCACGACTGATCAAGATGATGCTTATCTGATATCTTGTTCATCTTCCCTGCTTTGGATTCCCGATTTGCGTTCGTGGATAGTTTTTCACGTCGCTCGAGTCTGATTTGCCGTTTGCCAGTGATCTTTTAATAGTTTGATCTCATTTTGTGGTTCGTTTTTCGATGCGATCAGATCTTTTTTTATCTATCTTTGTTCGAATTTATTGGTTAGATTTAATCTTTCTTTATATAGTCATTATGTGATCATAAGTTGTTGGCTTTGTTTCAATAATTATATGAAATTTTCTTAGTTATATGTTTAATTTACGATTGTAATTGTATATTTTTATTATAATTTGAGTTATTTTTCTATTTTGAATAAAAATTAGTTGCTTCTATAAAAAAAACATTATTACAAAATTATTAAGTGAATCCTCTCGACTCAAATTTCTATTGCAATAAATAAATAAATAAGGTAACACAAAAACAAAACCCATTAAGGATGTTTGGCCTACTGTTTGGAATAATTAAGAAAATAATAAAAATAAACAAGTTTGCAGTTGCTTTAACTTTGCACACACTGCTCACTGAACTTTGTTCAGAAAACCCTATTCTCATTGCTTTGAACCCCACATGTTACAGGCGCTTTAGCTCTCACTTTCTTCAACACCCACACACCGACCCCGATTCCTATAACCCCAGCCGCTGAGACTGCGGTTACAGTCCCTGCCATTACAATCACATCTATTAACTCCCGATAATCACAATAAATACGATACGATCAATAACTCATACATGACCATAATTACTCATATTTTCACCTGCAATGACTCCCGCCCTTTTGTGCCTTGAAATGTCATGATCTACACAACATATGAAGTGATTATAACAAATCAATAGAAAAGAACAAAAAAACTCAGGTAAAAGTAAACCATCGTAGTCAGGAATGAACTATGAAGGGATTAAATTACTCAACTTTAAAACGGACAGGGTTCTAGAAAGTAATTATACCATAAAATTAAGGGAATTAGATCTTATTGAAAGGTCTTAAAAAGTAACTAAACTAGAAATATTGGAGGTCAAGCCTTGGTTTCATTACTTATAAAACTGATAGCATATTAAAATATAATTAAACCAGAAACATTTTGGGAGGAGTCCGGGTTAAATTTTAATAGTTTTAAAACTATTAGTAATTTAAAATGTAATTAAACCCACATGGTTGAAGGGGTCATGGCAAACATACCTTTACAATAGGAGGTGACGTTTCCCTCCTTGCATAGACAAAGGAAGTTGTGTGTTTGTGTATCGAATCCACATGTTCCAGCACCCTTTGATGGATCCTGACACTGGAGGCAGTGTGTAGTAACCGGAACATCGAAATCGACCCGGATCCCGTATTCGGGTACCTGACTATAGGGAGAATCAGTGGTTGATCCAACAGATTTCCAATACACACTCGTATACGAGGGGCAATACCGCAGCATCAGCCTTAGGGACTCAGTTGCTTTCGGGTAGTAGGAGCAGCAAGAGCTACTACTAAGTGCAGTGGCACATTCAGGTAAATGCCTGCAAAGATAACTAGCGCTGTCGCATGACGAATCACAACGTTCAGGGAATCTCTCACAGAAGATAGGCTTCGGCTCGACAATCACGTAATCCTTGCTGCAGTTGAAGAAGAGGTAATCGTTTTGAGAGGACAGCGTGAAGGGCGTGCTCGTATCGAGGCTAAAAGGTCTTGTGGGACGGAAGTTATCGCCGTCCTGACAATTCCACATCAATGGATCGGTGACGAGGACATGAGGATCGGAGTAACCAATGCTGCGGACAGGGTACCGACCGGAAGGCGTACGGAGCTCAAGCTTACCGAGGTCGGAGCAAACAAGTATGTGCCGGTAATAAGGACTGCCACATCCATCGTCTATCCCGAAAGGGTAGTTTATAGGGATATCACCACAGGTTGTTCTACAAAGGCTTGCTTGAGCTTCTATGAGGCTAAGAAATGGAATGATTGAGGAACATAAACAGAGAAATGAAGTAATTTTATTGTTGGGGAAGATCAGAGAATCCATAGGAGTAATAGTGGAAGCTGTGTTCTTAGCTTCTCCACTGGGATATGTATTGTTTTATTGTCAAGAAATTCAGAGAGACAGAGAGAATCTGTATGTAGTTTCTTTTTAATTATGGTGTTTCTCACTTTTGCTTTTTCTTTTGTACCTTTCTGACATGTATACTTTGCTTTTGTTCTTTAACTGTTTAAGAAGGTTTGAGGACAATATGTGTGTATGTGATGATTAACTTATGTGCTTTCTTGGATCGGATATACTATTCATTTTCGATATCCAATTTGAAACGGATTAAATTATATTGAAATTAAAATCGAGTCGAATTTGAGTCATAGTTCACTGTGTCAGATCATAGTTAGACAAAAATCCTCCTCACCTGCAACGACCTTTTGTAACATTTAATCTCAACTATACTGTGGTAGTTTCCTTTCGACCTCGATTCCGATCCGACTTCCATTTATATATACCTGAACTGAACACCGATCCCAACCTGAATTCCATGTATAATTAACTGAAACTCACCCGATCTCGAGCCGAGTTAAAACGCTAACAGCAAAAACTTGGCATGAAATATGTTAGAATTATTTTCAAAACTCATCCATTCAGCATTTCATTTCCACTGAAGTAATGCACATTAACCCCCCAAAATACTAATAGATGCTAATTTCTCCAGACTTGGAAATTTTGTAACACTTCAAAATGATGCATGTATTTGAAGTAAACAGCAACCAACAATTCCATCAGAGAACTCCCGAAACTATACTGAAAATCGATAATGGAATCGAAAGCACAATTAGCAAGAGATGCTGAGCTCCTTACATATTCTTTTTACTATCTAAACGCGACAATTTCTGGTCCAAAGATTTCAACTGGCTCCGGAGGCTTTCATTCTCCTCGAGCAATCGATCGTACTCGAGAAGCAAACCTTCAGATTGTTTCCTCAAAGCAACTGAATTAACTTTTGCAGCACTGATCTGTTTAGTCTTTGTCTCGATATCGGACTCTGCCTGCTTAAGTTCTCCACGCAGAGTGGTTACTTCCTCCTCCAAGGCTTTAACTTTGTCCAAATCAACTTGTTTCCTGAGAGCATCCATGCTCTTCCTCCTTATCCGGAGTTCTTTGATATAATGGTGTAATCTATCTATCATTAGTGCAAGGAAAAGTGTGCCCCCTGCAACAATTTACCATTAAAATCCAGAGAGAAAATGAAAATTTTGCACTGCCATAAGGCAAAAAATACCGTTGTCACAAAGTAGTCCTAGACTATGTTACCCGACAATGAGTGTTAGATACGAGTATATATCTGAGATCATTACGTTCAATTATTTCCAAGTTTTTTCATATATTTGAAAGATTTTATTCTTGAGTTCATGTCTAAATATGTAAAAAATATCTATGTTTAATATAAATTAGGATAGATGCATGAATTTATTTTTTTTAGATGAGTGAGAACTTAAAAAGTTATATTAAAATTTTGAGGATGTGATGTCACACCTAGGTAGGACCCTTGAACAGGGGAAAACTCTCCTTGTTTTTATTTGTTCACAAAATTCAAACCTCCTTGAAATTGTAAAATAATCACAATTACAGCATTGCAGCCAGCCTAATTTTACAAAAATAATCACAATTACAGCATTGCAGCCAGCCTAATTTTACATTCCAATCTTCATCAAATTGAACCAACAGGAACAAAGAAGGCAGTTGAGTAAAAAAAAAAAAAAAGCAGAGTTCGTTCCTCCTTTGCTTTAAGATGCCAATTAGACATGATAATCAGCAGTCAACAGCTAGACTTAAAGAGAGTCGAAGAAATAATTCAGTTACCCATGAGAGTAGCTTCGAGGAGGCTCGTAACCATGAGAATCTGGTCCGTTGGATTAGTCACTCCATCATCGGCCCAACGCTTCTGGATGCTGTATAGACTCGACATCATCACAACGAACACCGTTCCTGCCACCGTCTTAACCACCACCGGGCCACGTCCCCGCTTGACCAGATCCAGACCCATTATCACCAACTTCCTAAACGGGGTCTTGAATGACAATACCGTGATCACCGCCATCTCCGATAATATCACCATGGAAAGTAGTTGAATCATCTCCAAAATGCTTTTTTTAGGAACCCGAATTAGAGAAGGGTTCAAAACCAAAAAGAAAAATGGAGGGTGAAAATTAATACCTTAAATCTGCAGAGTAAGGGATCAATGTGAGAATCTGAGAGCTAAAGAAGAAGAGAGGGAAAGGAGTCAACAAGGACTGCCATTGTCGTTGGCAACGACGAGCCGTCGATTGATCTTTTAAGTATTTTTTGTTATTTTCTCATAGGCCCCCTTACCTTTTAGTTTATTTTATTTCCCCCCTTCTTTTATTTCTTATTTGAAATTGTTGACTTTTAAATTTATAGAGTACGTAATTTAAATATGTAGTAATACTGGGAGAGATTTAATTTATTTAAAAATATTTTCGAATGGATTGATATAATACCTTCATCTATAAAGCTGAGGATACCGAAGGTTTAAACATGTCACACTGAACTAAACTCAATCGGTTATTTAAAAATAAATTAAAATATACTAAAATTAATTTTAATATGGAATTTATTTATTATTGTATACCTTTATACATTTAAGAAATCAAAATTAATTTTATTATAAATAAGTAAATCATTTTATTATAAACATTAGGGTTACAAATTAGACGGGTTGATGGTGAACCAACCTGATGGCTGATGGTGGCTTTCAACGCCTATAACATGTGTAATAATAATACAACTTCTAAACCAAACAACTCCCCTCCTATCTCCTTTATTTTTCAATATTAATATTAGAATTCGAAATCACAATAAATTAATCAAGGCCTCCAACTTTCTATTCATGCAAAAAATGCACATAAATATCACCCTTTAATTTTGTTAATTTTAAAATAAAAATATTTCTACTATAAATAATTATAATCATAATATATCATTATAATAAACTATCAAATTAATAATTATAATTATTTATGTATTTGGTATCTAATTTTTAAAAATACAAATGAATAAATAGTTATTAAAAACAAATTTAAATTAAACTATAATTTCTAAAAAAATCATTACGTTAATTTAATATGTGAGTTATGTGAATACAAAACAATAAAGTTGATAAGAAATTTCACAACACAAATTTTAAAAATACACAAGCACGAGCACACAAAATTGTCATTAAAAAATATGTTTAATGGTAATCGATGACCTCGAACTTTTAGGAAAAAATAATTAGTGTAGCCCCTAAATGTTTTTGCACCAAAAAAATTAGTCTAACCATTTGAAGAACATAATCAAATGTTGATTGTCACGACGCTTGCATGACATCTCACCAACTTACATGACAATATACAATATTGATGTGATAATTTATAATATTGTTGTGATAGTACACGATGAGCGATGATGTTGTAGATCGACTTAATTATTATTTTTTGGCTTAGTTTGATGGCACAATTGATTGTTTTAGAAAGTTTGAGAGAACTTATTTATTATAAAAAAATTAAAATTTTATTTAAATAAAAAAATATAAACAATTATTTGGTTATTCAACACATTAAATATAAAAATACTATAAAATTAAATTGTTAAAAATTCAATTTAAGGATTATATTGAGTGTAACAAAAGTTTAGTGACCATATATCATTAAGTCAAAAAATTATTGTTATAATGATTTAAATCCGTGTAAGTTAAGTTAAAAATTTTAATCTCCTTATTTCTTATTTTTCAAATTTCTAAAATAATTTAATGAAAATAGTAAAAATATCTTTTTTATGTTTTCATATTTTCACTTATTTTGTTTTTTATTTTCCAGAAATCATTTTCCTATTTATACAAAACATGTTTTCTTTAGCATTTTCTATTTTTTAAATAAAAATAGTCTATATTTTCTAAAACCAAACATGCCATAAGAGTACCTATGATTTATTGAAATTAAATTGTGAGACCAATCTCATAAAATATTAAACAAGAAATGCATCTTATATGGAAATAATAATAAGTCGATAATAATATAAAATTCATATGTTTTTGAAGAAGTAAAAGAAATCAATACATTCAACATTACATAATCAAATAAAGTTTACAAATTCAACAAAAGCACGATATATATGCATATCTAAAGGTTATTCAACTGTTTTACCCATATATATATATATATATATATATATATATATATATATATATATATATCATTTTCAACTACTTCCAAATTAAAATTAAAATAAATAAATACATTGACAGAGTGGACTCAAGTTTAGTTCAAAGAGTTTACATGGCTAACATGGATGCCTTCTTTTGCAAGAAAATATAAAGGAAACAATGAAGATGATTTAATATTACATGGCCAGCAGACCCAGTACCCATGGGTTTGCTATAAATCACCTTCAATGAACCCTAACCTTTCATCTCTAAAAGAACATCTAAAAATCCAATCTTTCCTTGGCTCTAAGATCAAATCTCAAATTAATTCTAATTTCCTCTGCTGCTTTCATACAAATCCATAATCATATATGGCTTCATTACAAGCTTCCAATTTTCTTCTATCTTTTTCTTCAAACAAAATTCATGCCGCCATATCAGTCCCAAAGTTCCCGTTAATCAGGTTGTCAGCTCCTAAATTACAACCCAAGATAACTGGAGGTGGATTCATCAACACAATCCCGATCGCCAAAATGGTTAACGAGACACCATTGCTTCAAGAAAGCTCATCTCTTTCAAATTCAATGGCTACTTTGCGACAACTCTATGCTATCTTGGAAGCGGTGGCTGATAGAGTGGAGATGCATCAAAACCTCGGAGAACAACGAGATAACTGGAACAGCCTTCTGCTTAACTCCATCAACATGATGACTCTCACTGCAACCACCATGGCTGGTGTTGCTGCTTCCACTGGCGGCGACGGCGGCTCTGAGGTGGGTTTAAAGTTAGCATCTACTGTTCTCTTCTTTTCGGCCACTGGGATGTCGGTGTTGATGAACACGATTCAACCTTCACAGCTGGTCGAAGAGCAACGAAATGCCATGAGATTGTTTATGCAGCTGGAAAACCAAATAAAAACCCTAGTTGCTGTTGGATCACCTCACAAGAAGATGTGTACTGCGCTATGGAGAAAGTGTTGGCACTTGACAAAGCTTACCCTCTCCCTTTGCTCGGTGTAATGCTTGAAAAATACCCGGAAACTTTTCAGCCTGCCGTTTGGTGGCCGAGAAACAAAGCAAAGCGTGTCAATGGAGAAATGAAGAGCAACATCAATGGATGGACCAAGGAATTGGAAATGGAAATGAAGGAAGTAGTTGAGGTGATAAAGAAAAAAGACAGTGAAGATTACGATAGATTAGGCAACAAGACATAGAAGATAAACAAAGTCTTAGCTAGATCAGGACCATTACTTACTGGATTTGCATCAGCTTTAATGGCTTGCTCAAACAATCCTTGGGCTGAAACAGTGGCGGCCGTCGCAGGAGCTTTAGCTTCAACAGTTAACACGTTGGAGCACGGTGGACAAGTGGGTATGGTGTTTGAGATGTATAGGAACAACGCCGGATTCTTTAAGCTCGTGCAAGAATCGATTGAATCAACGTTGGATGAATCTGATTTGGAGAGAAGAGAAACGGGGAGTTGTTTGAAATGAAGGTGGCATTGCAACTGGGAAGAAGCTTATCAGAACTGAGGGACCTGGCTCAAAAATCCAGATATTCTCGTGTGGAAGGAGCCCCCTTTGCAAGCAAGTTGTTTTGATCCCTATATATATGTGTGTGTGTACATTCTTTAATTCTTTCAATTAAACAATAGTATAGATTTGTAAGTTTTTTGTAAGAGGATGATGTTCATAAGGTATTGGTTGAATCATGAATATACCTGCAGAAATTTTATGGCTGATGTATAAAAATAAATGTACCCTAACCATATAATCCTTTGGAAATTGGAATAAGAAATTGAATATTGTTATTATGTTTTTTTGTTTTAAATTTATAATTTTATTTCGAATATATCAGTTCATTTTATAATATTATTTAAGTAGTTATAAAATATAAAAATTAAATTAAATTAAATGAAACATGTGATTCCAAAAATATAAAAATAAGTGTACCCTAACCATATAATCCAACTTTATTTATCTTGATAACAAATATTTTTATTAAATATAAATATATTATCAAATTTATATTTTTTTGAGCAAAATATTTATTAATAATACTTAAAATTTAATTATGTATCTCATTAAAAATCTCTCAAGACCTATTTAGAGAAAAAGAGTACACACAACTATAGAGTACGCTTTACGCACCAAAATAGTTACAAAAAAGCTCCCAGAGCTGATGGATTCAATGCAGAGTTTTATAAGAAATTTTGGAATTCCATCGTAGGGGAAGTCATGGATTTCTTTGGAGACTTTTACAATGGAAAGTGATTTGATCACTCGTTTAACCATTCGTTCATCACACTCATTCCGAAAACAAGAAATCCCAAAGGCTGTGTTAAGGAAGTGGTGGGAGATTCACAGTTTGCGTTTATTGAAGGCAAGCAAATTGCAGACTGCGCTCTTATTGTAAATGAAGTCATCGATGATGTAAAAAGAAGAAAGAGAAAGGACGTTGTTCTGACAGCAGATTTCCGAAAGGCCTATGATTCGGTAGATTGAGATTTCATTGGGCTAATAATGAAGAAAATGGGGTTTGGTTCTAGATGGAGGAAATGGATCAAGTTTTGCATCTCGTCAGCATCTATATCTGTGCTTGTTAATGGTTCGCCTACGAGAAATTTAAAATTAAGAGAGGTTTGAGACAAGGCTGCCCACTATCGCCTCTGTTATTCAATATTGTGGGTGAGGCTCTCAGTGCTGTGATTAACAAGGTGGTCGATGTGGGGCTGCTGGGAGGTGTTCGAGTTGGAGTTAGTGAGCTTCGTATATCCCATCTTCAGTTTACAGACGATTTGTTGGTTTTTTCAGATGGGAATATTGAAGCTGTAAAAAAACACAAAAAGACTGCTTAGAATTTTTGAAATCGCTTCAGGTCTCAGCCTTAACTTGAGAAAGTCGAAATTATTGAGAGTTAATATTGATGAAAGTTGTATCTTGATGTGGGCTGAGGATGTCCAGTGTGGGTGGGAAAGATTTCCATAGAATTATCTGGGGCTGCCAATCGGTTATTCTAGAAACTCGGTGGATTTATGGAAGCCGATTGTTGATAAATTCCACACCAGACTTGATGGGTGGAAAAGTAAGTTGCTATCATTCGGTGGAAGGTTAACACTGGTAAGGTCGACTCTTTCGTATCTTCCGGTTTATTACTTGTCGTTGTTCCAAATGTCGGCTGCTGTGGTATCTAAGCTTAATAGTCTTGTTGCTAACTTCCTTTGGAGGGCTAAGGGAGGTAAGAAATTTTGGAACGTAGCTTTTTTTGGTTTCTCGTGATCAATATGGCGGAGTAGAAACGAGGTGTTGTCAACAAGAAAAGAGATTGTGCTAATCAAATCTTTGAGTCCGTCATGGCTATGATCGCGTTTTGGTGCAAGTGTAATTGGCCGGGAATCTGTCCATCCTTTTCTGATTTCTCTAGATGTTTACATGCTTTCATTCAGGTTAAATAGTGTGGGAGGGTGTTTGTGCTTAAATCTAAATGAGGGGTTCTGTCTGTCAAGATATAAGTAGCTTCCACTGTGCTTCTTCATCAATACCAGGGGATATGCTGAATTTGTTGTTCCGTCTGATGTTTTTTTGGGTAGCTTGTGTCAGTGGCATTGGAGTGACTTTGTGTTGTCTTTTCACTGGTGTTATGTTAAGGGGTGTGCTATCAAGAATCGTTGCTTTTTTTGCCTAGCTTATTTTTTTATAGGTTTTGCATCAAGATTGTTCCCGAGTTGTGTGGGCTCTTCATTGTATTTGGGATTGTGATTTAGTTACTGCCCTTAGTTGGGATGGAAATGCTCTTGAATTGTGTGCGAGTAATGGCCTTTATTGGTCGATCTTGTGTGATTTTGTTAGACAGTGACTTTTTCTTCCAATTAAATTCAAGGAAATTTTTCAACGAGGTCGCGATCACTATAGTTGTCCTTGTATGTTTTGAGTCATAAATTCATACAAGATGCCCTTTAAAAAAAACATAAAGAGGACCGAACTGATTTTGCAGTATCAAATTTCTAATTGATTTGATAAAAGATTTACTGATCTTGCGTTTGATCATTAAGCAGATAATTTTAGTTATCTTATTTCAAGACGAGATAAAATTACAGATCAAGAGTAAAAAATGTATAATAGCTAAAAACTCTTAATGTTTGCTTTTTTTTTCAATTGTACCCTTAATATTGTCCAACTATGTCACAAAAATGTTGACAGTTAGTTGACCATCTAAAAACAATATTTGAATAAAATTTAAAATTTATATTGTAAAATTAAGAAAAGATTAGTAGTATTAAGGTTTTTTTATTACAATTATGCCTTAATTTTGATCAAAGTAGCAGAAAGTCAAAACATGTTTTATATGAAAAGGACTGTTAGACAGAGTTAGGACAGACTATAATTTATTTAAATGAAATTGGGTGATCTACTTCATAAAAATTTAGATGAAATCATTCAACTTAATTGTAATAATAAATAAAGTAATATATTAGCCCACCTTCTTCCTTTTTAACAGATTTTAGCCCATCTTCTTCTTCCTTTTTTAATAGATTTTAGCCTATCTTCTCGAATAAGTAAAATGGGAAATTCATACATCCAACATCACGTGATCAAATAAATTTTATAAATTCAAAGATCAAATACACAAATAAATTAAGATAAACGAAATTTAATGAGTTCAAAAGATAGTTAGTGATCTTAATCCCTTAAATATTAATTTATGCTTTGGTTTTAAATTTTATAAAATTATATTTTAACTCCTAAAAATTTTAAGTTTTCTTTAAATAATTTTATTGTATTGATATTTTAAATTAAAAAATATAACTAAATTTAATGTCTAAAATCTATTTTATCCCTCCAATTACTATTGAAGCTAATAATGGAGAAATGACCTAGTCCCAGCATTACAATTTTGAGCACTCCCTTCATCCTCAAAAATATTGGTGCAAGTCAAAACGTGGATACATTAGGGTAATAGTCAAAGCCGTCCAATCATGACCCTTTCCTTGTATATTTTGTGATACTGCATATTCAACACTTTTGTCGTAATATTTCCTTTTTGGCTTTGCTTTACTTACGATTATTTACTTATTAATTTTTAAGTCTTTTTAGTTTAAACACGAAAAAGAGTTGAACATGTTTGTGACATTCTCTTGTCTTGTAGTAATAATTCATAAAGTAATGATTTGAGCCTCGTCTCCATCAGCTAATTCCAAATTATATAGTTGCGTATGAAGATGCAATGGCTACAACATGACAAACAGTTATAAGCAGGAGTCAATGATGTGAAAAAGATTTGATGATCTTTTGCAGGGACAAAAGGAATCAACGGCAATGCACATAGCAGCATCATGTTATCTTCATTTAGACACTAAAATCCAAACTCCAGCACTAGGCAGAACACAACCTCAACGACTTATCAACTTTCTGAACTAACAGTCTTCACAAGTATTGTTGATTTTTCATCACATAAATACTGCAAACTCATGCTCTCGCTACACCATGCATGGCTACCAGCAGTACAGGCTCTTCCTGTGGAGAAAACATGGGAGACTCCAGTCGTCACGGCTCGAGCAACCCCAAAGGTCGCATAGTTGCATAATCTTTTACAATCTCTCAGCTTCTTTTTTTTCTTTTAATGTTTGTTGTTTATATTGTTGCAGAGGGAAGAACTGAGGAGACCAAGGTGGAATTCTCTGAGGATGAAGAGATGCTTATTGCCAGAATGTTTAATTTAGTTGGACAAAGGTTTATTCATCATTACACAAGATGTATACATATATATATCTGTGTATATGTGTATATTTATTTGTTTTGTAGTAATTTTAATGGTGTATTTGCATGCATCAGGTGGTCTTTGATTGCTGGGAGAATCCCTGGAAGGACAGCAGAGGAGATCGAGAAGTACTGGAGTTCAACACATAGCTCACAGGCAGGATCGCGAAACGAAAGATAAACATCTTTAGACCTAGTATTCTTATCGTGTTCGTATTGTTATTTTCATGTGTTATAACCATGTTTAAGGTGTTACATCTTTAGACCGAGTGCTCTTATCTTATTTGTATTATTATCGAACTGTTGAAGGCTTAATGGGGAAATGAGAACTTTATATCTAGCCCTGTGGTTCCAGAGGCCAAGTTCTTATAAAGAAGAAGGGTTAGCGGTCACCGGAGCTATGTTTTAAGGCCGCGCTTCAATATAGTAACATTGAAATACCGTATATGTAGAGTAATGAAAGGAAAGAAGGTGACAATCAATAATAGAACTAGGAAAATGATAGATACATGATCCAGATTGTAGATATACATAAACAAGAATGCAACTCGAACGGATTCAAATTCATACTCTGGTATCGTCGAATTACCCGTTTTAGGATCAAGATAGTTGGTGACCCTGGATACCTTCTGGTGGTACACTGTTAATTAGGTTACTTCAGTCTTATGCAACTCAGCTATCGCAATGGAACATCAAAAAGGCATCTAAAAGAGCCTTCCGGGTTGTGCTCCACTTCTCATCATTGTGCAGAACTCGTCGTAGTTGATTCTCCCATCCTGATTATATAAACAGCATGAGTACTGCCGGTAAGGTAATATTAGAAAACACCGAGTTTGATTCGGAAACAAACTTACGTTATCGGTATCCACCTCGGAGATTATTTGCTTGCTGTTGGCTTCATCACCCATTCCATACTCCTTCATAGCAGCCTCTAGTTCATCCATTGTAATGAACCTGCAAACAATGATATACATTTATACGAATCAGACAAAGGGCAGTCAGTCCATGAATTTGTTCTGGAAAAGAACTCAAGAGTCCAGGAGAAGATCCAGAACGTCGTAAATGAGAGTACGGAACCAACACATAGGTAGTAGACAATGAGTTCAATGTACAATGTGGCATTGCAGACAGTTTAGCATTTGATGAGTAAAAAGGATGAAACTTTAAAAATGATAACATGAAAACTCGGGACTCACCCGCTGTTATCTTTGTCGAAATGCTGGAATGCTTTGTACAGGTGTTCGTCTCTTTCGAGTCTGTGTCTATGCATTGTAGCTGAGATAAATTCAATATAGTCTATCGTTCCATTTCCATCCACATCAGCCTGAAAATGCATTGCACATAAATTTTCAATAATCAACTATGAGCAAAAGTGTAAACAGTTTGGGTAGATAAATACTTACAGCTTCCATCAATTGCTTGACTTCAGCCTCGTTGAGCTTCGATCCGAGACGAGCCAAACCTTCTTTCAGTTCTTCGTAAGTGATTGTGCCACTATTATCTGTGTCGATGTTTGTGAACATTGCTTTAAGACCTTTAATCTCTTCTTCAGATAGATTTTCTGCAATGACCTGGATAATTTCATATAAACCAACATTATTGGACGAAGAACGAAAGAATAACCATATAGACGGTTATAATTCAAAGGTTTAAACATATTAACTGGAGATTCTTCGATCCAGTTAATTACCGTACCTTCAATGCAAGCTTCTTCAGCTGATTCATTGCTCTGAATTGCTTCAATCTGGTTAGAACAGCGGAATCTATCGGCTTGTCTGATGCTGCACCTTCTCTCAGCCAAGGATGGTCTAACAATATGAACATTACATGTTAATCAAAGGCATCAGAATCAAAAGTTTTATAAAGAAACCATTACAGACCAAGAGCTTGTGCAGCAGTAGGCCGTTCTTTGGGGTCCATTGTCAACATCTTTCTCACTAGATCCTTGGCACTCTCGGAAATTGAAGGCCATGGATCGCTTTCGAAATCTATTACTCCTTCAAGGATGGCCTCAAGTATCCCTTCTCAGTTTCTGCAATACATGTCCATCACAGCACATAAACATTATATGACAGAAACGGAACATCAACAACTTGCTAAAACATGTCAATTTCCTAAGTTACCAGCCCAAAATGGAGGAACACCACTAAGTAGAACATACAAAATAACTCCTGCACTCCATATGTCGATTTCCTTTCCGTAACTCTGTCGCAGAACTTCGGGAGCTATGTAATAAGCACTACCGACTATGTCGAGATATTGCTTCCCTGCAACAAAATTCAAACAGATTAGTACATGAGGGACAATGCAAAACTTGATCTGAATCAAATAGGAAGTGGTGGAAAATGAACCTTCTTCGATAAAGACGGAAAACCCGAAATCGGTTGCCTTCAACATAGCTCCATCATCCTTGCTGGACAACAAGAAGTTCTCCGGTTTAAGATCACGGTGCATCACTCCCATGAAATGGAAATTCTGAACCACGTTTAGGACTTGTCTACAAATAGCTGCAGCGGCTCTCTCAGAATAATGACCCTCGGCAATGATCTTATCGAAAAGCTCACCAACAGCACAAAGCTCCATTACGATGTTAACAGAGTGTACATCCTCATAAACACCCCTGAATTCCACGATATTAGGCTGAGCCGACAAATGCTTCATGATTTCAACCTCTTTCTTGACATCATCTTTGTCTTGTTTAGTTTTCAGCTTCCGCTTAGATATGGATTTGCATGCGTAAGTGTTGCCTGTTGAATTCTCTGTGCACAAGTAAATTATCCCGTACTGGCCTCTGCCGAGTTCCTGTTCGAGTGTGTAGTGTTCCTTAATGTCTTCCAATGGCTTCCGTAACACTGTCTTGTGCCTCACTTGAACTGACTCTGAGCATGCCGGTGAAGGGTTCGGTTGCGGTGGCTGCTGCTGCTGGTGGCGGTGCCTTGCTTGTGGAGCTTGTGTTTGAGACTTCAGAACTTGTTCTTCTTGATTAACTGGTTTTGAATCTTTGATTGACGTGTAGCTATTGAGATCAGCTCCTAACAATCTATTCTTTCTGCTACAACAACCCATCCTTGCCTTGGAAAACTGTTTTTCTTTTTAAGTTCAAAACTTCACAAACAAAAGGGGAAAAGATAGATTTTTTTGAAGCAAAACCCAGAATTTCCTGACGATGTTAATCCACTGTTTTCACAAAGTTCTGCTGTCTTAACAAAGGCCACAATTTCCTGAAATGTTCAGCCACTTTGTATCATTTTCCTTGTTCTTAAAAATTAAAAAAAAATCCTCGACAAAACTAACAAAGAGAGCGAAAATTTGTTAAAAGTTTTCTCCCTCCAGTTTTGTTTTTCCTTTTGGGTGTTTGGATTTTGTCGAGTTGGTATCTTTAAAAACCATTGGAGGATGATTTCATTTGTTAAATTAGGAAAAGAATGAGAACCCACCGATTGTTTGGTGGTGTTGATCTGAATTATTAGTTAATTTCAGTAAATTAAGCGCACTCCATGGATGTTCTATGGTTTGCTCGTTAAATTGTCATTAGTGGCAGTCAAAGTGTTGAATAATCATTCCTTCCATTCGTTCTTTACCTAAAATAGAAGAGACGGGTAGATCTATTTAAAGATGAAGTTACTCGATAGTTTTCTGTTTTTTTTTTTACTTAGACTTTGTCTAACTTAATTCCTTCCATAATGAAATTATATATATATTTCTTAAATTATTTATATCACACGTCTTTGATTATAAAAATTAAATTTTAATTAATTATTATTATTTAGTCTTACATCGCTGAAACTTACTAATCGATCAAGCTCCTTTGGTATCACACGCCATCTTTTAATCCTCTCAAATAATCGAAGGTACAAACATCGCAGACTATCAATTAGGTAAACAGTATTATAGGTTCATTGATGGTGATAGGTCAATGGATGACGATTAGACCAAAGATGAAACAAAGTTCGACGAGAACAAGGAATTTAGACATCTCATACAATACTAAAAGATTTTTTTTGAAAATAAATTCCGTCGGGTTTAATAGCGTCCTCAATTACAACAGATTTAATACAATTAGACTCATCATAATAAAACTAGAAGGATTGAGATTCGACAAAGCTCAATGAGCAAGATTGTGAGCCACTTTGTTTGGCTCATGGTTTACATATTGAACCTTAAGCCCTTTATTAGCGGCAATCAGTCCTCGTCCTTCTTTGAGTAATAATCCAATCATCGATAAGTCGGTGCTCTAGTCAGCTATTCTATTGACGATAGAGATTACATCCCCTTCTATAATGGCATTGTTCCAATCGTTTTCCAATGTTATTTTTAACCCTTGTGAGAACGCTTCTGCTTTGACAGATTCGGCATTACACAGTGGTGGTATTTGTCGACATATCCCATGTTATGGTTGGAAGAGAAGAAGAACGACGATGAGGGAAGAGATTGGGACTGGACGAGAGATGGGAGGATTTGGGGATGGAGGCTCGAGGGTTAGGGATTAAAAAATGTGAATTGGGAATTAAAATGGAAGAGGGACAGATGATTATATTACTTGATGAGAGGGAGCAGGCCGAGATGGAGCAGGCCAGAAGCACAATGGAGCGGCCCAGATCGGTTGGCCCAAATGAAGGCTAAAAAGGGAAATGATACAAAAGCAATTCTGTTAGCAAAAATACCAGCTGGCAAGAATTAGATTTTCAGTAATATTTTTGTAACTAAATAAAATACCTGTTGTAGTCATCTTTTGCTCATGAATTGAATGAATGAGAAATCATTTTCTGTAATATCCCTTCTTCTTCTTCTACAATCCCAACTTCTTCGATAAATTCTTCTTCTTATTTCCCAATCCACAACAAATTGGTATCGAGAGCTTCGGTTCTGACAAGTAAATCACGAGCATGACAAAGAAAAATCAGAGTATGGAGGCAGATTTAGCTGGGTTACAGAAACAGATGGAAGATTTGACAACATTGGTGAAAAAGGGTAACGATAATTCTAATCCACCTAAATGGTGGGAGGCCCAAGAGAACAGAATTACTGCAATGGAGACTAGAATGGCTACAAACCAAGGATATGTGGAAAAACTCTTGAAGATTTTAACTGGCAGAGAGGGAGAACAAGAGCAGTCTGAAAGTGATCAGGTAAACACTCCTGATAACTCTAAAAATGGGGAGAAAAATCATGTTTTGGTGACTGTAGTAAAGGATAAATCAAGATTCACTTATAAAACTGGTGAACCGGGAATATTGAAAGACAAGCCTGATGCTTGTTTAGCCCTTAAGAATAGTTCTAGGCCTGAGAATCAAGTGGGTGAAAACAGTAACAATAGACCTATTATAGGAATGGAAGCTGAAAACAGGGGACCAGGGAGTTCTTTTATCAGTTCGGGGTCAATGTGGCATAGACCAAAAATTGATTTACCATTTTTAGAGGGGATTAATCCTAGGGGGTGGCTTCAAAAATGTCTGAAATACTTTTCCATTTGTGGTGTTCCTGTTGAGCAGAGAGTAAAGGTAGCTACTATGTATTTAACATGCAAGGCTGAAATATGGTTTGATGGGTATATTATGCAAAAACACCATGTTAATTGGCATGAATTTGAGGATGATCTTTGTCATAATTTTAGTGACAGATCTTTTTTTGATATTGTAGAGGAGTTCACTAAATGACTTAGAAAGGGTCTGTGGAGGATTATCAAGAGAAATTTGAGGAGTTACAACCTCATATGTTGCTGCAAAATCCTAATTTAACTGAGGAATTTTTTATGTCACTTTTTATTAGTGGACTTAGGGATGATATTAAGCATAGGGTCAAGGCTTTGAATCCTAAGAATTTGTCTGAAGCATGTAAGCAAGCTAAACTCTATGAACTGTCTGTGGAGTTTGAGAACATAAGGTTGAGGCCTTCTTTTAAACCCCCACCCTACCCAAACCCCATTACTGTATCTAAATCAGCTTCAGTACCAGTGAACACAAAACCTTTAGCAACACCAAATCCTAAGTAGAATCTTATTGAGTACAGAAGGCATAATAACCTTTGTTTTAAATGTTGAGAAAAATTCCTTCCAGGTCATCAATGCAAAAACAGACAGCTAAACATGATTACTGAGGAAGTTGACACTCCCTCAGTAGAAATTTTTTCAACAGACTCAAATCAGTCCCCACAAGCAGAGGAAGAAACACTGGAAATATCTATAAATGCCATTATTGGTTATATTGGTCATACCACATTGAGGATACAAGGATCTATTCAGGTAGATCATTGAATATTCTAATAGATAGTGGGAGTACACACAGTTTCTTGACTCCTAATTGGGCTGATGCTGGTATTCGAATCACTACTCCTTATCCTTTGGCTATTACTGTGGCTAACGGTCAATAATTATTCAGTTCAGCTAGATGCAACAAAGTGAAATGGCAAATGCAAGGCCATACATTTACACATGATTTCAGACTGCTTAAGTTGGGGGGAAGTGACATGGTTTTAGGAGTGGATTGAATGAAGTTATTCAATCCAATATTAATGGACTTTAATAACATGACTCTAAGTTTTGACCATGGAGGGCAGAGGATTTGTATTCAGGGACAACAGCCTTCAACTGAGCTGCAGCAAATTTCAGGAGCTACCTTACTTAAAATGAGTGTAGGGGATTCTGATCTTATGGGTCATATTGTCCTAATGACTATGACAGGGCATTCTTCTTCCATTCCTATTGAAATCCAGCATATACTGGATAAATACAGACCAGTTTTTGATGAACCTGTTGGTCTACCTCCCCAGAGGTCTTGTAACACCCCCAACCCGTATCCGATCCGGATACGAGTCCGAAGTGTCATATTGACTTTTCAAACATTTATTCGTATAAAATAGTGAGTAATTTAAAAACTTTGATAACATTTAACTTATTCAAAACGTTTACAAAATATATATCAGAGTTCATACAATTTATATCTTTAGACTACATGCCAACTACACTCTATATACAGTACATATATTTTTTGATCTGACATTTGGTAAGGAGAACTGACCTGTCTTGCTCCGCATTAATCTTTACTCTTCTCGGAACCTACGTGTGAAACAATCACACGCTAAGTCGAAGACTTAGTGAGGCATAAAGAAAACACATCTAATGGAATTCATACCCACTAATCATGCATGACTGTTTTATGCTATCAAATTATACAACTCATTTACATATACATCAACATATATTCGTGCTTATTATGTAACAGATACCATTACCCCTATCACAGATATATCATATCATGCACACATCATATCACAAATCATATACATATATCACATACATTGTTCTCATATCACCAATATCCATACTGTAAGCATATTACTTTAACATTCATGAATTTGTATTAATGAGTTTATTGGCCCATGATATCATATTGAGAACCTAAGGTATCTGAGTATTGTGAGGTTGTGCACTATGCTGTCACCACAGCTCGTATAAATGCACCGAAGTGCCGCGTAGAATTGCACCGTAGTGCCATATAATGATGTCCATAAGGACCACATAGAATTCCTTAAGAATCATATACATATGCTAGGGATCATATATGTGTCTCACCAGACTTCACACATGTTCCAAAGAATATATATATATCCCGAAGGACCGCGTAGAATATTGTCCCGAAGTACCGCGTAGACCCTCTACTCTTGGCATGCCAACTATACCCCTAGCTCTCAAGACACATAACATGGGCATTTTCTTTTATACTTATCATTTCACATAACACATAGTTCAATTACTCATAGAACATTTTCATATGAGTCACATTTACATGTCACATAGCTTATATACTTTCTCACGTAGTTACATAGATCCATATCATATAACATATATCACAAAGTGCATAAAATCACACATATCATATCATATAGCTTAGATCATTTCTCAGATATTCATATAAACATACATATCATATCTTGTTCACATATGATCATATATGCTTCATATAACACATAGAACACTTTCTCCTAGCTTATACCAATTTTCAGAGTTCTTTCATATTACCTGATGACATATATCATAGATATATAATAACGGATATCATATTATCTACCTTATGCTCTATTTCTTTGTATTCCCATAGATTAT